CCCCACGTCTTAGATATAGGGCAGTGATTGGTTAATATTGATTTAGATGTTGATCCAATTCTGGTTTGAATCACATAAAGCATTTCTTATCATAATCCACTGACTGGCAATTCACAACAGGCGAACAGCACCATTTAATACTAGAGACAGACTAAAAAGCAAACATGCAATTAGCTAGACTAGATTGATTAGCTTCAGCAACAAATTAAATGCACTGCCTGAACTACACCTGCAAGCAATATTCCACTGTGAATGCTATGCTTAAAAAATGCAGACAGGGTGTTAATAGATACATGCTAATTAATCCGGATGCCATGATTAGTGGGGAACTCAATTCTCCTGTGAGCACCAACGTATATTTAACTATTTTTGTTATATTTTAATGCGCTTTAGGTCTACATAAGATGCCTCAGATGTAATTAAAAGCTCATATTAGCACATTCAAACCTCTAAAGCTTTATAAATACATTCACTTTGCACATTGTTCTCTGTTAATAAAGAGTAATGAGTCACTGATGGATTTGCAAGATACTAACTACATTTGTATCAAAGGCGAAATGCAACTCAGGGGACTCAAGTATGGATAATGAAGCCAAATGTACAGAATGATACAATTCAATGACAAGGCTGGAGACCTTAAGCATCCAATAGGATGTGCCGATTCCTTCAGTGTCGCATATTCCCAACTGCCAAATCAAAATCACCTACCTGAAAAATCATTACAACTAGCGTATATCTTTCTGAAGGAAAAGGACCATGAAGTGAACTGAACATTTACTGGAGAAAGTATTGCTATAGCTAGACAGAATAAGACTACTCAATGTCCTCTTCCAGTTAAAATCTCATCTGAAAAAAAGAAGAAAAAAAACGTATGTGACCTAGTTTAAAGAACTGGGACAATTGACTTCTAGTGATAGCGTTTTAGGACTGGCAGAAGGTATTGCTACTGTAGGTCTCCGTATTCGGTGCAGGAAATATGCTTTAAAGGAGTAGTTCACTTTAAAAAAAAAAAAAAAAAAAAAAACTTTTAGATAATTTACTCAGTTGAAAAGGAATTAAGGTTTTTGATTCAAACATTCCAGGATTTTTCTCCATATAATGTTCTTCAATGGGAACCAAACAGTTCAATATCCAAAAGACAGTTTCAGTGCAAACTGCAAACTGTTCAAAGGGCTTTAAACGATTTCAGACGATGAATAAGGGTCTTATCAAGTGAAACCCTAACCCTAATCATTTGAGCTTATAAAACTTAAACTTTGTTATTTTTTTTTTTAAATGAGCGAATCGTTTCGCTTAATAAGACCCTTATTCATCGTCTGAAATCGTTTAAAGCCCTTTGAACAGTTTGCAGTTTGCACTGAAATTGTCTTTTGGACCTTGAACCGTTTGGTCACCAGCAAAGTGCATTATATGGAGAAAAATGCTGGAATGTTTTCATCAAAAACCTTAATTTATTTTCGACTGAAGAAAGAATGACATGGACATCTTGGATGATATGTGGGTAAACAAATTATCAGCAAAAGTTTTTTTTAAAGTGAACTACTCCTTTAAGTTCCTTCCAACTTTCTTCTTGTTTACTGTACCTAATATTCACACTCCTTTTCACTGTATATCTGTCTGTGCTCTTGTATCACAACCAGAGATGCGGGGCAGTCAAAGGTTGAACTTGTAGAAAGGAGGTTAAGTGTCTTGCTCAACAGCACAATAGCTAACAAAAATGGCTCTGGAAGGACTTAAGTCTTGGTCTTCCCATTCACAGTGCAGATGTTTCCGGACTCAGCCACCCACCACCATTAGAACCGGGATCAAGTTGGATTTTAACCCTGTAGCTCTTCAGCCAGTAAAATACTTATAAAGCCATGGCATAGACAACCCCTGGAGCAGTGCAGTTACATCACATTTACCAAAGAGAAGATATTACTTCCGTCCTTTTCTTGAACTGGAGTTGACTTTAGCTGTATATCACACAGTTTTAAAACTAGATTTGCAGGCCAATATAATTTCCCTTTGTCTGAATTTGGACTAGAAACTGGAACAAACATCATAAAGTGAAGTAGTGGAAAATAGAGAAATGTGATAATCAAGGTAATTTTTTCTACCATACAAAGATAGTATCGTTAAATCAAACAAATCCTATACTGTGCACTGTAATATTAGATTTGTCAGAACATCTAAATGAACTGGTTTTAATCATGTCAACTTATTATTAAATATGACTGAATCAACCAATGATACTCATTTTTAAAAGGTCAGATCAGGTAGAAATAAAAGCTCTGTGGAGTTTCATTTTGCAAAGACTACCATTCAAAATTGGTTTTGAGTTTTGCATTTAAGAAAGGGTTTTCTAAAACATTCAGTAAATCAATAAAACATATTTTACATTTCTTATCAGACAAAAATAATACCCAGCCTATTTTTATTATTATAATGCCTTTTGTTGTTCCCATCCAATTTCCAAGTTTGAAGACAAAGTGAACGTCTCAGTCTTTTTTTCTAGCACATTAACCAGAGGCTTCGGTAACACAGAGATGGGTTTTCATTCTCGGCATCTATGCCACGAGCTTGTGACTTGTATCTGTCTCTTTGCAAATTCATATTAGCCTTCAAAAACATTTGATACTACATCAAAACAGCCCCTTTTGTGAAGGAATGCAGTAATCATGTAAATGGAGAAAACGTCACACTGCTGCCATTCTATTGGCATGCACACTGTTTCTCTATCAGACTACACACTATCTGTGATTTTAGGAAATCCTGTTTGGTGTTTCATGAAAAAAAAAAAAAAAAACTAAATGACTGAAAGAAGCGAAAGACTAAGGAGCTGTAAGCATTTGCTCAACACAAGTCATTGCTTTACTATGGCAGTAAAAGGAAATGCTCTGTAGCAAAAGCAAAGCTGCCATCCCCTCAGGAGAAGCATTAAAAGTCACTCTGACAGGTTGTAGAAGTATAGTGTGCCCAGGATTATCAAGCTACAAGAGGTCTTTCCACTTGTTGAAGTCCTCTGAGGTAGGGCATGCTCGACAATTGCACCGTAAATTGATTTAGAAATGCACTGCAAGATTTTGATTTTATTTACTGCAAAGCATAAGCGATTTGGGCCGTACTAAAGAGCGAAAGCAACTCTCGGGGTAACACTACAAATGCATGTAATTTCCATTATAATACGTTTTTTTTATGGCTGAACATAATTTGCAAAGTCCTTGCACACACATTTCACAATGCTTGGGAGATTATAACTAAAAACCGCCACTTATATGAAGCCAGACAGCAATAAATCTCTTATCTGAGACGCCTACGCGGCGCAAATGGAACCAAAATGCTGGAGCCCGTGAAAAGAGAGGAAGTGGTGTAATCAGCAGGTGGTGCTCACTCAGGTAGCAGTGACAGGCATCGAGATGAGCTGGAAGTGGAACCGCTTCCAGGCATGAGATGCGCACAAACTCTCCTATCTGCAGATGGGACGCTGATGACATCATTCCCAAACACCTGCCTCGGATATCAGCATTATCAGAGACCAATAACTGCAGTGACAAACGCCTCAATGACGAGAAGCCCTCTTCCGTCTCTTCAGGCTAATATCTTTAGCTCAACAGGACAGCCCGTAATAGCTGCAGCTGGCAGACTGTTAGCGCTCCTGAACACAACCTGCTTTAAACAATAACAACACTTCAATTCGTCTATAGCAAAGCAAAGCTTTGTTAAATCCCAGGCTTCAAGTGCCACTGTCATTGCAATTATTGCCTGGGCTTTTGAAAAAATCCAGCTGTCAGCCCTTGTTAAGGATTAAACATGCGCTTAACACAATGCACTTCCTATGTTAATAAGAACAGTAGCCTATTATGAAAAACTAAAGCGTATGAACCCTCTATTGCATGCGTTGTGAAAACAATGTTGAAATAGACATGTTTGATTCACTTGTCTTGCATAAAATGGACCTAATTAGTAAAATCAAATACAAATTTTGAAAAATAATTTGGGACGGGGCGGCTTCTTTTTAGGTATGCTTTGCAGCGCTTCAATGAAATCATTCAAAGACAGGTTTTTACTCATTTAAATATTTTTGAATATTTCTGAGTGACTTAAAAAATTATGTCGCAGTCCTATTTTTTTTTTATGTGCAAAACAGCAAGAACAAAAGAACAAAACTATTAAATCAGATAATTAAAATAAATTTTGGTCACGCTTTAGATTCGGACCCAATTCTCACTATTAACTTTAACTATGATATTTGCCATAAGAAACTAGTTAATAGTGAGAATTGGGCTCTGAAATAAAGTCTATTTTTGTGGAAAATTTCATTTAAATGCTAAAAAGGTTGATACTTCCACAAAACAAAAACACATTAAAAAATAACTACAATATAGTGGATCCATATACTCTACATTCATATCCATTCCACTGTCGCACAGTGTTGCTTTGGGGCAACAAACATATTCAAGCAATTCCTCAAAACATCCAAATGATTGATATAGCTCTAAATGATTTAAAATAAACCCTACTCACTAAGAAATATTAATCATATTTTTTGAAGAAATAATCAATAAAATGCTTCTAATGAAGCAAAAATCTCTCTACATGGGTGCATTGTGCCAGAAAAAATATGTTGTGTGTTTTTACTGGTTTATCCTAAATCTTCTATTCATTATTACCCATTTTATTGGCGACAAGTGAAGAAAACCCAGAGGCAACATTGTCCAATAAAGGGTTAAACGGTTCTGTCTTAAAAAAAAAAACATCAAACAACTGAATTAAATATAGAGCTGTAGCTTTGAAACAAGAAATATATGTGGAAGTTAACTTGAAACACTTCAGATAAAACACAACATTACATGCAGACATCAAGGGCTGCTTGTCCAGACACAGATTAAGCCAAGACCTAGACTGATATTAAAAACTAACCATTAGCAGCGTCATTTTGTCTATTAATTGAACTGTCTGGGGAAACTCTGCTCTTATGGATTGTTGTTTACAGACGCAGATTAAGTTCAAGTACATACCATATACGTAAAGAATGTAATCATCATAGGCTTCTCCCACTAAGTTAGATGCCACACAGCGGTACGTTCCATTGTAGGACTTGTTAAGGTTTTCGATGAAGAGATCAGAGCCAGTAATCACGGCGTGGGAGGGGAAATCATCATCCACTCTGAGCCAGTTAATTTGATGAGGCCTGTAAAACATCAGAGTAATCATTTAGTGCTTACTGTGAAAATGCTCAGGCAGACACACAGAGGATAATGCGCTCTATTCAGGACAACTTTTTTCTATCCATCCATCCATCCATCCATCCACTCTATCTGTTGCATACAAAGCAAATATATCCATTCATCCATCCATCCATCCATCCATCCATCCACTGTATCTGTTGCATATGAAGCAAATATATCCATCCATCCATCCATCCATCCATCCATCCATCCATCCACTCTATCTGTTGCATACAAAGCAAATATATCCATCCATCCATCCATCCATCCATCCATCCACTGTATCTGTTGCATATGAAGCAAATATATCCATCCATCCATCCATCCATCCATCCATCCATCCACTGTATCTGTTGCATAAGAAGCAAATATATCCAAACATCCATCGATCCATCCATCCACTGTATCTGTTGCATATGAAGGAAATATATTCATCCATCCATCCACTGTATCTGTTGCATACGAAGCAAATATATCCATCCATCCATCCATCCATCCATCCATCCACTGTATCTGTTGCATACGAAGCAAATATATCCATCCATCCATCCATCCATCCACTGTATCTGTTGCATATGAAGCAAATATATCCATCCATCCATCCATCCATCCATCCATCCACTGTATCTGTTGCATATGAAGCAAATATATCCATCCATCCATCCATCCATCCATCCACTGTATCTGTTGCATATGAAGGAAATATATCCATCCATCCATCCACTGTATCTGTTGCATACGAAGCAAATATATCCATCCATCCATCCATCCATCCATCCATCCATCCATCCACTGTATCTGTTGCATACGAAGCAAATATATCCATCCATCCATCCATCCATCCACTGTATCTGTTGCATATGAAGCAAATATATCCATCCATCCATCCATCCATCCACTGTATCTGTTGCATATGAAGCAAATATATCCATCCATCCATCCATCCATCCATCCATCCATCCACTGTATCTGTTGCATATGAAGCAAATATATCCATCCATCCATCCATCCATCCATCCACTGTATCTGTTGCATATGAAGGAAATATATCCATCCATCCATCCACTGTATCTGTTGCATACGAAGCAAATATATCCATCCATCCATCCATCCATCCATCCATCCATCCATCCACTGTATCTGTTGTATATGAAGCAAATATATCCATCCATCCATCCATCCATCCATCCATCCATCCACTCTATCTGTTGCATATGAAGGAAATATATCCATCCATCCATCCACTGTATCTGTTGCATACGAAGCAAATATATCCATCCATCCATCCATCCATCCATCCATCCATCCATCCATCCATCCATCCACTGTATCTGTTGTATATGAAGCAAATATATCCATCCATCCATCCATCCATCCATCCATCCACTGTATCTGTTGCATACGAAGCAAATATATCCATCCATCCATCCATCCATCCATCCATCCATCCATCCACTGTATCTGTTGTATATGAAGCAAATATATCCATCCATCCATCCATCCATCCATCCACTGTATCTGTTGCATATGAAACAAATATATCCATCCATCCATCCATCCATCCATCCATCCATCCATCCATCCATCCATCCACTGTATCTGTTGCATACGAAGCAAATATATCCATCCATCCATCCATCCATCCATCCATCCACTGTATCTGTTGCATATGAAGCAAATATATCCATCCATCCATCCATCCATCCATCCATCCATCCATCCATCCACTGTATCTGTTGCATACGAAGCAAATATATCCATCCATCCATCCATCCATCCATCCATCCACTGTATCTGTTGCATATGAAGCAAATATATCCATCCATCCATCCATCCATCCATCCACTGTATCTGTTGCATATGAAGGAAATATATCCATCCATCCATCCACTGTATCTGTTGCATACGAAGCAAATATATCCATCCATCCATCCATCCATCCATCCATCCATCCATCCACTGTATCTGTTGCATATGAAGCAAATATTTAGTTGACCCTGGAACAACATCTCTGTCTGAAAATTGAGTCCTAACACTATCCCCACCTCTAAACCTAACCCTACCCATAAATTATCCCTCAAATCAGAGAAAAAACAGTGAATAAGACCAGAAACTATTTATATAGAGACATGCCACTTCCTCAATCCTTAATAGAACTATATAGTAAAAACCAAAGATGCCGGTTGTATGCACATGCCCCGCCCCTCCCTCTGGAAAGCCAATCGCCTGCTTTTAACGGTCAAGCCGGGAAACATTTAAGCCTATCTTCTGGTTCCACCGACGCATGCACACAGTTGTGGTTTGCGACAGCGGAAATAATATTTTACGGTTTGAAAAGGCGGCAGATTTGATATGTGTTAGTTATGTAAATATCAGACATCCCAAGTCTCCTGGAAGTTCCGGGAGTCTTGATAGATAGCGGCTCCCTGATGACCGCAAATTTGTTCAAATCTAGAGCGAGCGAGCAGTAGCGTGCGCGACAGAGAGCGAAAGAACCCTTGCGCTTGCACAATAAAAGTATAACCTGAGGGGAAAAAGGTATTTTAAACCTTATTTTGGGGCAAAGTCATCAAACTTTTTCAGCTATTTTTATAATATTTTATTACTGTTTCTATAAAAGGAGTTATTATCACCGGGACACCAGTGAAAGTGCAGTTCTGAGTCTCGGCCCATTCATTTAGATAGGAGCCTGGTCTTGTTAGTGGCGGCCGAGTGGCATGACTTGCCTAAAAGGACTTTGATAACACTGATGTAGACACACCAAACCCTGAATATAAGCCAAAACTTGACATAAACTTGTCCCTCAAATATGATAGGTTGATTGGTACAGTATGTTGTTCCAGGATCAACAAAGATGTTTATCTAAGTACATGTTGGACTTGGGGAAATCAGGTTCTGTGTGTCCATCCCCATCTATCTGTCTTTCAGGAGATTTTAAAGATACAAAATAAGTATGAAGTATCACTACCAAACCACGTACCTATTTGCATACCTGTCTATACAGTACAAGTTCTTGTTATCATCAATACTGTACACACAAAATGAGTAAAGTGGCCTGAGGGCCCTGTGTTGGACTCACTGCGGTTTTCCTTTAGCATTGCACGTCAGCTCAAGATTTTCTCCTTCTCTGGTCAAACCCTCTGGGAATTCCACCACAATCTTCACTTCTGGTTTATCTGTGCAATGAACATAAAGATACAAACAAACACACTTATTTCCAGTTGCACTGCAGTACATTGATTCCGCTCGGTACCCTTGAAATCTATCTAATTATCATTCTAAGGCCACATACCTGCCTCTCAGTCTGATTAGAAAACATCCCCGGCAGGTTTGGACATCATTTGCACACTCGCATTTATACATTCATGTGTATTATGTATTCATGCTTAATACAAAGACCTGTATAATGAAGGCAGACAATCTTAGCTGCTCTTCTGGGTTTAATTGTTCACGTTACACTATATTAAGTCAACCTGGTGAGCCTAAAAGAGGGCGAACATGACAGTACGAGATTTTCATAGCCTGGGTAAAGCGTGTGAGGAAAGATGACACTCATATGAATTTAAACAGTCAATTTAACAGTACTGTAAAATGTTTTTTTTCCCCCTTTTTCTCTTTTATCTATGTTAGTCAAAATGTCAAGCTGTTACAGTTGAGCTGATCCCTCCTGCCTTTTCTTCTCAAAGGTCACCCTGAGCAGTCAGCTATCTGAATAAATTAATATTCTGCCAAGATTACAAAAGGGTAGGTTAACCTTTCCAGGACTTCCCATGCCACAGAAAAAAAGCGTGCAGCAAATGCTCTTAATGCATTATTTGGTGGACAGCATTTCATGTTTACGCATAACAGGACAGGGTCTGTTTTAATTAAAGCAAATACCTAGACCTCGCCTGGGTTAAAAGGCACAGTCCCCCCCGAAATCAAATTCCCGTTATTATTGACTCAATTGATTTATTCTTTTTGCAAACCATACATCAAATTTAATATTTTCTTTATAATTCATACTATGAATTGTAAAGAAAATATAAAATTTGATGTATTCCACTTAAGAAATTAAGTAACTTTGGTTTGTTACAGCTAAAACAGCTAAAACGCAGCTAAAACTGACACATAAAATAAAAAAAGCACCATTAGAATATGGTTCATATGCACTATATTCCACTTCTGAATTCACATATCTTTAGGAAACATTAAATCTGCTATTCAAATTATCGCCCCCTCCAGTGAGCTGTAAACACAGATCACAGAATCACTGAGTTGAACTCGGATTCATGAACATATTGTTCAGTCTGAAAAAAAAAAGCTTCATAGAAAAGAATCGCCTCACTGAAAAATGGTTTGTGATTTCTGAAGTGATCCGCTCACTAGAGACGAGGATTATCAGTTAATAATTACAAATTTCAAATTGTCTTTTTGTTTTATCAAGATTTTTGGAGCCGAACAGAAGTGAGGGCACTACAAATTGTGGAATTTATGGAAAAGAGCTGATTGAAGATTTAAAAAAAATATTACTTTTTTGTTGCACAATGGTATGGAAAAATCATTGAACTATTCCTGAAAACAAATAGGCTTTCCTTATAAATGGTCTAATTGTGTGACAAATTGTGTGACTAATTGTGTCAGTCAAATTACTAATTCCAAATTTGAATTAATTTGAAATAGTCTGGCGTTAATTTCTTTATAAATCGTCTAATTATGTAACAAAAGTTCTTTTACAACCTCAATATAATTGACCAGCGCATGCAGGTGAGAAGATTAAACCGCAGCTGAAAGTTTTCTCCTCATCTAGAGATGACTCACACTGCACTTCCAGGTATTTCTGGGCCTGGAAGTCCTTCACGGCTGGGTGGTCAATGATGCAGATGACGGCCACTCCATCGTCCTCCTTAGAGACGGTGAGCCTGAGCCGGCTGGTGACAGTGAACATCCTGTCGTATAACTCCTCGACAGTCGCCTCACCTGGGAACGGCCGCAAGAGTGACATGTCAGCCATAACAAGCGAGCTCCCTCCATCCCGGCCTGCTCATAATAACACTGTGTCACCGGGAGAAGGGAGGAGGGTCATGAGGATTGATACCATCACCTCCAGACAAATTTCACATTCATATATTTATTCATGCCTCATACAGCGTGCATAGGGCACATTCTCACAAGTGACGACCAAAAATCACGACAGGACATAAAACACAGGGTTGCATGACAGCTTTCGGTCAACATGTGAAAGTTAAATGCTTTTTTATTTTGGGTTTGCCACTTTGATTGATTTATTGATGACATGAGCCATTCCACTGTTAGCATTGCCAGTGGTTTAGAAACTGGTGTTATAAATGTTTAGCTTGCCATCAAGCTCTTAGGTGCTGTTTACACGGTACCATTTTCAACTAAAAACTTCAAACTTTGTATGCGTTTTGGCCATTCATTTAAATTTTTTTGGGAGTGCCTGAAAACGTCAAACGCAAACGTTTGATAATGGGTTTCAAAGTGCACGTTTTTGAAAACGGTCTCCATGTAAACAACAAAAAAAAAAACGTGAATCTCTGAAGACGATGATGTCACGCACATGAGTATTACGTGTTTAGTCTATAGTGTTTATTGCGCCATCTAATGGCCTGACAGCAGAATACAGCATTTTCAGTCGTTATCGCGGATCCGTGTGAATAGGGATTGTTTGGACAATGGTGTTGTCTACTCAAAAAACGTCTTCGTTTTAAGCATTTGTTGTCGTTGTAACAAATGAGACCAATCAGACACAATTATTAGTTATGGTTAACAAATAAACTTTAAAACTCATCATTCCCCAACAGGGCAAGAAGGGTCTTTGGGTTACCAGGACTGTGATGTTGGTGTACTATGTATGATGTAAGTATGTTGGTTTTATTGCTGTCAAAAATGTGGTCACATGTTCAAGACAGAGATGATAGGGAAGACAGAAACGGCCTTTAATACAAACTTTGCTGCATTAATTATAGACGAACTGATCTATAAATGAACATTCTGCGAATTACACTGAAAAAAATAATGCTGTAAAAAAACGGTAAACTACTGGCAGCTTTGGTTGCCAGCATCATAACGTAAAAATACAGCGTCTTGCTGTTTTTTGAAATTTACAGCTAAATACCGTATTGTCAGCTACAGTATAAAACTTTAATTAACAGCTATATACCCTAACACAAAAACAGTAACACACCGTATAGTTACGGTATGATGCTGGCAACCACATAAACTATGCTGCCAGTTTACCGTTTTTTTTACAGGATATTTTTTGTATGCTGTGTGTTTTACAATAAAATCAATGGTCACATACCATGTTTGTTCTATATAAATTGGTACTTTGCAGATCGAAATAATTGTGAACATGATATTTCGATAGCGGTGCAATATATTAGTATTACCAGAATCTTTCTGGTAATACTATAATGTTCTCATGTGTTTTCATGGCCTGCTAAGATTTCACTCTCCCAACACAGTGAGACTGTTGTTTCTTCAATCCAAAACAGAGGAAAACTGCAAATTTGCCACTACTGAATGGACAACCAAACTCTATCAAACATGGAAAAACATCCACGTTTGGTAGAGCTGATCAAGAGTATTAGTGATTGGTTAATTTGTTTGAATATCCCCAACCGAGCAAGCCAAAGGCAACAGTGCCAAGGAACAGAAAAACTCCATCAAGTGACCTAATGGTGTCTTAAAACTTCATCAGGTGACCCAATGGAGAGAAAAAAAAATGGTCATGGGGATTCCCTACTCTACTGACATGACAGTAGACAATGGACTGTGCCCACAAAATAATATTACTGCACATTTTATGCTACAATTTACATGGCATAGGTATATCCTATATATATATATATTTTAAACATATTTCTATAAATAGTATTCAAAATATAAAAAAATAATCTGGGTAACACTTTATTTTGATGGTCCACTTTAGATATTTGATTTAATTTGCAACTACAAGTTAACTAACTCTCATTAGAGTATTAGTAGACTGTCTGCCTAATATCTGCTAACACTTTATTTTGATAGTCGTTTAACAGACTTTGCTCATTCTATTCTTAACTTATTCTACTTACCCGAACCTTAACCCAACAGTCTACTACAGTCTAATACTCTAATACTTTAGTTACCTATAGCTAGTAGAATGTGTAAAGTAAATCATCGAAATAACACACAAATGTCATGGGGCACGTTAGATGAAAACCAAACATGGCAAGTTATTCTAACTGAAATAAGTTTAACTACTAAAATGACTAAAACTGAAATGAAAATTAATTATAACAATGGCAAAAGCATATAGCTACGATGGATGGATGATCAGGACATGTGACTATGATGAATTCATATGAAGCAGTCCAGAGGTCAGTAGCTGTCTGCGGGGTTACTGCACATCATGTTAGCCCTCATCCTAAGACAATTTCTAAACTCAAGGGCATTGAGCTAATTGCAGCCCAGAGTATGACGGTTTACTTGGACCTAATGAAGTGGGAAATAATTACAGCTCGGCACTGACCTATAGCTCATCTCCTTTCTCTTCTGTCAGCACATACTAAGACACCGTTACAAGAAATACATGAGTTACTGTATGCCAACTTTAAGGTCTATAACAATAAGTTTCTTTCAGTCCACAGAGTTTCTTCATTAAAGATTATGCTAATTTTGCAATTTATTGGGGGGTGGGGGGGTCATAGGAAATTATGTTTCCTTCATTATAGAGTTTGGGACAATGTTCCTATGAATGTCCACTTTCACTAATCAATGGACCATTCAAAGATTTATTATAATTTATAAATAGCCTACACATTATATATACATCATATTATTTTATATATGATTTAATAATTTAATTATTAATTAGGATTATCATCATTAGATTGTTTGCATCTATATATTTATTTGTCATTATTTACTTTTCTGCTGAACATGGATATTTTAAAGAATTTCGGTAACCAAACAGTTGTTGGGGCCCCATTGGCCACCATTTTTCCCCCAATACTATGGAATTCATTGGGGCCCATCAACTGTCTGGGTACCGACATCCTTTAAAATATCTTCCTTTGTTTTTACCAAAAGAAAGTAATTCATACATGTTTGAAACAATTTGAGGGTGAGTAAATGATTACAGAATTGTAATTTTCATTGAATTGTCCCATAAAAAAAAATTGGCAATTGAAAAAAGACTGAAGACTGGAAAAATGTTGCCTGAGTCTCGATGTCTGTTGAGACATTCAGATGGTAGAGTAAGAATTTGGCGTAAACAGAATGAGAACATGGATCCATCATGCCTTGTTACCACTGTGCAGGCTGGTGGTGGTGGTGTAATGGTGTGGGGGATGTTTTCTTGCCACACTTTAGGCCATTAGTGCCAATTGGGCATTGTTTAAATGCCACGGTCTACCTGAGCATTGTTTCTGACCACGTCCATCCCTTTATAACCACCATGTACCCATCCTCTGATGCTTGAATTCCAAAAAGCTTGAATAATTTCAAATTGGTTTCTTGAACACGACAATGAGTTCACTGTACTAAAATGGCCCCACAGTCACCAGATCTCAACTCAATAGAGCATCTTTGGGATGTGGTGCTACGGGAGCTTTGTCCCCTGTATGTGCATCCCACAAATCTCCATCAACTGCAAGATGCTATCCTATCAATATGGGCCAACATTTCTAAAGAATGCTTTCAGCACCTTGTTGAATCAATGCCACGTATAATTAAGGCAGTTCTGAAGGCGAAAGGGGGTCAGTATTAGTATGGTGTTCCAAATAATCCCTTAGGTGAGTGTATGATAATTGGTATGTGATAATTGGTATTGGTAACAGGGTTCCTGACTGCGACCATTTTTTGAGAATGTGCGAGTTGAAATTGTATGTGTTTCGCATTTGTACGAGTGCAAGGTCGTGTACTCCCATGTAGCAAAAAAAAGGTGTGACCAAATCATATGCTAGTGCGACCAACTGAGAAAGTTGGTAGCACCAGTGCAAACTGGATAAAATAATTTTAGTCTAAGATTAGTTAAAATTCTGCTCTATACTTAATAATTAATATCCTCCAAAGGTGTTTCAATATGTACTGACACCAGAGTTGGTGTGGTTCAGATTAACACTTTTTAATTAGAAAATGATTAACTTAATGTGTGTTTTCTATTATCCTTACTGCGTACTAGCTAGTATTTGGACTCATTTAGCACATGAAATCTCTCGCCTTAGGCCACTGTCTGACTGCTTTCACTGCAGCTAATGAAGCTGTGATGTTTGCAATCCATAAACAGTTGACACATTAAACTTAGATTCTGTTCAAAATCAAATGCGCCATATCATCTGCTATGTTTGCCTCTGTTTCCCCAGGTAGTCTATCTGAATGTTATTCAACAGTCCCACCCTGCTGTCTAATGGAGAAAAGCTGTTTATAAGCACATTAACCAGCCTGCACATTCACTCCTTTATATCAGCTCGCACTGCCTAAACCAGTGAGAACTAATATGTGGGCAGCATTTACTGAGTGGGAGGTAAACAGTTGGAGTTCATTCAAAGCTACTTATTTAAGCTTGACTGAAAAGCACCAAAAAAAAAAAAGCACCCGCACGTTGAGCTCTTCTTGTCAATTCCCTGGATACACCTTATGAAGGCTTCATTGAGAGTCATTATGAAGTCAGAATCCTAAACCATGGTGTGTTGTGTGCAGATCAGAGACATCAGTAAATCACAGCAAACTTATCTGCACAATCTTCCTTGGATCTAAGTCAGACCTTGCAGTGGTTGGTCTCCTTTCATCCATTTGATGGTGGAAGCAGGTTTGCTGCCCATGGCGGTGCAGGTTATCTCAGTCTCATTCCCCTCACTCACGATTTCCTCGCGGGACTCTAAGATTGGGTTGCCTGGTGGAACTGGCAGAAGATCAACAGTAAGATTAGAGATGGTGCGACAGCTCCTCTGCGTTGGATCAATGTTTTCTAATAATGTGTTCTCACTAAAGGACAAACTGTTATTTTACTAAGATCTGCTGGTGCCTATCAAGAACTTAAACCAGTAATAATAAAGCAAAAACAGTGTTGTTTTTGAGCCAGTCTTGTTTTTCCTCAAATCATTATCTGAAAACTCCCTATAGTCTATGTTTTAGTTTGGATACTGGTCTCCAGCATGGAGTGCTGGTGTGCTGGTGTCCCCACCAGGCTTTTTAACAAGCTCTATCAGCAAGACTTCCTTGGTTCCTCGCAAGGTTTCTACCTCATCCCACCTAACCATGTTAGGGGGTTGACACTGTCACCTGTGGCTTCCTCAATGGGGTTTTGTATGACACTATTCTTTTGCAGAGCTTCTTTGGAACAATATTTGTTGCAAAAAGTGCTACACAAATTTATATAAAAAGATACATTTATAATTAAATACATATACCTGTAAATACATTATACATTACCTGTTTGGAAGAATTAAGATTTAAAAACAGTTTTTGCTGCATACTACTTTTTGATAAATGTGACTAAAACATTATTTACACATCATTCAATGTTTTTTTTTTTCCTGAAACATTTTAGTTGACTGGATTAAATACGTTTTCATCAGGGCAAAGAGCATGTGATCAATCAGCTTTATCTCCCAAGTTATGGTCGCAATATACTTATAGCGAAAATATTTTTCTGTCTTCATTTAGAGATAAAAAGCATTCAAAATGTATTTGGAGTGATACACTGTTTAAGTAAATATGTGCTGCTGTCTTTCCTCTCAATAACAATATAAAACACAACAAAAATGACAGTTGTGAGAAAACAGCCATTAAGAAAGCATCTGGGAATACGCCTTATTCACGGCAGCGCCATGTTTGATTTTTAATGAGAATGAAAGCGAGGCTGAGAGGGATAGACACGCATCTCTTCAATGGGCTGTACTGTTATTTAATGTGTTTTCGGTTTGTTCTGCTCACGAAACACTGGAAAAATATCTTTCAAAGAAATTTCAGTTGACAAAAAACTCCAGACAATGTAAGCTGTGGAAAATTGTAAGTAATCTAGCAGCTTTAGGGGCCGTTCACATATCGCGCATAAAAACGCGTAGAAAACGCTAGGCGCACGCGTTCTCCTTTTTCCAAAGAAGCGCTAGGGCGGTTGCACTCCGGAGGCGTCTGTCGTTGCTAAGCAACCATCAGCTGCGCTCTCCATTACATGAAGGAAATTTCAGCAATGGATTTCCACCACCAAAAAACCCTTGCTGTAACTCTGTTACAAGATTTATTTACTCAGAAAAGTAAAAAAAACGCCGCGGTGTTTGGGTGCACCCCATAGGCTACTACAAAAACGCAAGAACCATGGGGAATTTCACCAGATGATTCAGGAACTCCGCCTGGACAATGGGAGGTTCAAAGCCTATTTCAGAGTGGACAAGGACCAGTTTGGTTATATTTTAAGAAGAGGTAACAAAAATGGCGAGGAAGCTGATTGGTTGGTTCGTGTCACGTGACCTACGGTGCGCTTGCGGCATTCTGAAAAGTTGAGATGTTTTTATCTCGATGCGGCGCGGACGCGCCTGGAAAAAACGAGCGCGTCGCACCGCGACCGCGTCGCTTCCATTATGAGCGCGCATACCGCGCGCCTACATTTGAAATAACGAACTTGAGCGCGCAAAAGACGCGATATGTGAACCGGGCCTTATTCAGCTTTTTACAGTGGATGCCATTGGAAACACGGTAAGTCTATCCCTCACAGCCTCACTTTCATACCTGTCATGGCGCTGCTCTGAATAAGGTCTATAGCGATGTGGTGGTTTGCACAAGCTCTTAGAGTTGGGGTACTCAAACTCGTCCAATTTTGAATGAACCCGGACTTGTCACGCACTCGAGGGAATTTGTACGGGCACTTGACTTGACTTGGCACGGACTCTGATATTTTAGACTCGGAAAAATGTCCAGTCAAGTCCGGGCATTGGGGGACAAATTATTCAAAAACGAAACGAAACTACTTGTGTTAATTCCACGTTGAGCATTGTAGTCAATCACAGACATGTATATTAAGCGCATGAACGCAGTGGCAAATCAGAGATATTTTAGAGTCAATATGCAGAGAATTCGCTCAAAATGTATGTTCAGAATCAGCACGAGCTTTATCCTTTCGCAAATCCCCTCACAAACAAAGTCTAGACGCGATATAAATGAGAGATTCATTGTGCAGTGCGGATAACTTCAGTGTTTATAACGAGAGTTTTAGGCATTTCGAGAGTCTCTGCCTTTCGCCACTCCAGTCAAGTAAAGTCACATCATCATCACTTTATTCAACAGAATGCTTTAAACCAAATAACTTTATAGTTTTCAACATAAAACAAAACTGTGATAGTGTTGCTTTCAATTAGAATTTCTATTACAAAGCAGATCTCCAGTGTTTATGTTGTCTTTCCCGGACGTCTGACCTCGACAGACCCAACAGAGGAAATAAACCGGAGAAGATTTCCACAAAGAGGGACCTATTACGTAATCGCCACGGACCAATGATAGTTTACCGACCGGAGGGAACATTTCTGGAAAATGAGCTTTGGTAAGCATTTTTTTTTGACTCCCAAAACGAACAACAAATGAACTTTTATTTTGGCTGGATTTTGTTTGAAATGAGGGCACACCAGTTTGTTCTTTGATTTCGCTTGAAGTTTAAGCTGATGAACAGCATGGCTAGATTAGCAACAATTCAACTTGTTTAAGCCATCTCTGAAACATTTAGAGCTACATTCAGAAGCAATTCTATATTTCGAAGGTCTCATTGTGTATTTGGACAGTGCCAGACCTACTCAACTAATTGACAAGCTGTTTTACTCTTGTTTAAATGTTTCACAGCACATTAGCTCATATGGTGCTTTGCTGATGGCACTAAAGCGTATGTCACTACAAGAGCTGCCGTTTGAGGGCTCTTTTTCTAATATCTTGCCACATGTTTTCATGTCCTGTGGTTAAGAGTCCATGCTGTGACGAAACGCATATCCTCATAAAACTCATGCTACTTTAGAGAGCACTCAATTCCATTCAGCTCTCCAGGATGTCCAAATATGCTGCATAATAAACCTCTAATGTTAGTGTCATTCAACGCAAGAGCCGCACAAAGCTAACTCCAGAAACGCTCGATGTAGCCTTTTCAACATCTAAGAGGAATTCAGTCAATACGCCTGCCAAAAGCGATCTACCAATATCAATAGCGCAACATCTGTTCCTTTTTGTTTGGTTTGTGTTATTGGAAACGGCATGAGAGTAATTGGCTGATATTGTGTCATGGTGGGATTCAATTAGACAAGTTCAGTTGAGTGAACGAATCAATGAGGCAAATCGATAATCAGGATTTTAGCATTCTATAGTAGATGTAAGGTGGATGTCATACCCAGCACTGTGATGTCTGCATAGGCTTCTTGCGGAGGATCCGTGTAGAGCTGGCACACGTACCGGCCCTCGTCCGAGAGTGACACGTTGGACAACGACACCAACAACTCGTTGTCTGAGAAGTTAACCAGCTGAAACCGACTATCCTTCAAGGCTGAGGAAACATAAAGACTGAGGATTACAGATTTGGATGAGTAGACAAATCAATTGTGGGTGTGATATTGACATAAACAAATATTATTTATGTCATTCTACTTCAAAATTTCACATTTCATTCAATGTTACTTGCCATTATTTGTGAAATTTTCTAATTTATGGAGTGAAAATGGTTTCAACACTGTAAAAAAAGTTAAAAATGCCTTAAAAATGTAAGTGTAATTCAAAGTCATTTCACCTTAAAGGTTCTCTAAGCGATGTGGGGCCAAAAAAAATTGTCACATACATCAAACGTCTCCTCACTATCGGCTAGCTGCCTGTCCCCTAAACACACTGTAAAAAAAACGCGGTCTCTGTCGACACCACAGGCTCCAAAAACGGCAACAAAAACAATCATGTCTCACCCGGACACGAAACCTAACAAACAGTGTTCCAGCCAATCACTGGCAAGAAGTATTTGAGGGTGGGTCTGGGGGGCACATGAAGGGTGTGTGTGTGTGAAGGAGATAGAAGCATCAGAGGGAAGTTTGAAAAATGGCCGACACACGACCAAATAGACGTCGTTCTGAAGAACAAATTAAAAAGAAGGAGTCGGATAAAGAATGTGCGAAGTTCCGAATTTACATCGGTAGCAAAGCTTTTGAACGATGGCGAGAACTCCGGCGGCAGAAGGGCTTCCAGTCCGACATTCAGGTTGCTCTGTTTTTGCTGGACAGGTGGGTAACGTTAAAATGTTTTTTTTTTTCTTCTAAATTGACGCTTTATGTTCGCCAGCTAGAACTATGCACGTTCACAATTATTTCAGGAAGCACGGAAGGGAGGGGGAGGAGATGAGATGCGGAGGAGGGAGGGTCTAGCTAGCCTCCGATTGGTTTGAAAATATTCTGAACGTCAACACCACCCAGGATCGCTCAGAGAACCTTTAAATTACATTAAACTATGTTTAAAAAAATTAGATGAATCTTGTTATAAACTTATAAAAAGTTATTATTTTTATGTTAAAGCAATGTAAAAACCATAGACTAAAAAATTGGTAAAAACATGTTTTCATTACTTATTGATCATTTTTTTTTTTTTCAGTGAAAGTAAATCCTGCATCATTTATTTTTTCAGTGCAGCGAAAGGGCCATTTTACACAAAGTGTTTTTGTTGTTAAAAATGCGAGACACGCATCAATCGAATGAAAAAAATTGCAAGATCTAGAGACACATTTGAACTATTAGTTAGACACATTACTTGACCGAAACACGGAAAATGGGAAAATCCGTTTTGTGTGAACTTCCCCAAAGACTGTACATACTGTAAGAACTCTTAGAATGCCGCTCAGCCAATCAGATTCAAGGACCAGAACAAACTGTTAAATAATGCTATATCATAAACTTTTGGGGAGTTTCATTAAATGAGCGAACTCAAAAATCATGCTCAAAGTTGGAGAAGTCAAAGCTCTAATTGAGCAACTCCATAAGAAGTTTAAGACCTTTGATGGTGCATTTTAAGAACCCCCTCTTAATCCAAACCCTGAACCTGGGAACCATTTGGAAGTCCTCTCTAAGAATAATGATGAGGCCAGCTTGTTTTGAGCAAAAAGATGGTGGGTGGGAAATGAAAGGGCTGATTTTCTTAGTCCTCGGACTGAATCGCAATTGATATGGGGAGTTTATGCACTATGCATCAAACAGATCTATGACTTCAGACTTAAGGTAATGCCGGAGGACTGTAATTTCTCCATATCAGTACAGTGAAATGGTAGAAGTGCTGCAGAAGTCTCGCAAAATATGAAGGATATAAATCTCTGAAAGGCAAACCTGCACATGAACGGGGCTCATTAGAGAGCATTTTAAATTCTAAAGCATCAGAGTCCGTAAGAGGTTGACAGTGAGTGAATCTGATTGTTCTGTGTCCCAGCTGGCTTGAGATGCTCTTCAGCTGTCCTAGCCTACTATCTCAAATTGACGCACAGATTGGAGAATGAAAAGAGAAGGGTCAGAGGAAATTACATATGGTGTGGTATATGAATCAAATGCAAATTGGATTGTCTTACAAAACAGCATATATCTTCTTTTGTTGATGGAAATATAATGAGCAGAACACATTTTCTGTAATAAGGATATATGGCCACATTTGAACCCTTCCATTGTTTTTGAGCCATACTTGACTTATTTTTGGCAACGAATGCAGAGTTTTCCACGACGCATGCGCGAGAACTGAACTGTAGTGCAATTCTCGCGCATGCGTCGTGGAAATCTCTTGAACTCTCGTTTCAGGCCTACAAGGAAGAAAAGGAATAGTCGAATAAAGTCGTTATTTTTTTCGCACAAAAAGTATTCGCGTCGCTTGATAAACATAAATATACTTGAGCCACTGTTGTCACATGGAATATTTACACATTTTCTTCATTGACTTCTGGGCCGTCCAATAAATAATAGTAAATAATCCATTCAATAATAGCAGAATAATTGTTATAAAATATATGAAATATTATATCATCTCAAAAGTGTTAGAAATGAGAATGAGAAAGGGGGAAAAGTTGTGTCCCAAAGTTCTTTCGTATTTTCTTTTCCTATTCACATATTTTCCTGTAGGTGAGACCTGTTGTACCTTAATAATGAAGTCCCGAATTGGTAACACTTTATAATAACTACACGCTAATAATCATTAGTTAAGCATGAGTAAACCATTACTTCATCATTCATAAAGCATTAATAGACATTAATAAGCAGTTCTTAAATACAGCTATAAATGCTTTCTTCTTGATTTAAAAGCATATCTATAATTTGTTTAATAATTGTATTTTCATCCTTTATTAATGATCAATTTATCATTTCTAAATGAAGAATTGCATTTTTTATAAACCAGTTATTTAAGAGTTGTCCGTGGTTCATACGATTACTTAGAGCGAGTAAGTAAATGATTAATAAACTATTTAAATGTACATTCATACATCTTATTATTCAGACATATAGTGATGGTTACTTAATGTGTTAATAAATGCTTTATTAACATGTATTAATGCTGTAATTAAGGATTAATTTGGGTAGTTATAAAGCATTTAGTAGTGGTCAGTTAACTATTTTTGTGACCTAATCTAAAGTGAGGACTATTCATGCCTTGTAAAGCATTTTTAAAGGCTGTTAAATATTTCTATGTTCTGTATCACTGCGTTGTGTTTGTTACATTTTACTGTTTAGAAGATTGACGAGTCTTTAAATCGCCTTTATAAATGCTTTACAAAGCATGAATAGTCCTCACTTTAGATTAGCTCACAAAAATAGTTAACTGACCACTACTAAATGCTTTATAACTACCTGTATTTACTACATTTACTTACACTTTCTAAGTGGTCTTATGAATGAATGACAACTCTTAAACAACTGGTTTGCAAATAATATTATACTTCATTTAGAAATTATTAATTTATCATTAACAAAGTATGAAAATACAATCATTAAACGCATTATAGATGTGCTTATAAATCAAGAAAAAAGCATGTATAGCTATATTTATAAACTGCATATTAATGTCTATTAATGTTTTATAAATGATGTATTAACTGTTTACTCATGCTTAACTAATGATTAATAGCGTGCAGTTATTATAAAGTGTTACCCACGAATTTTTAATGATTCGCAATGTAGGTCAAATTTTACAGTAAGTGAATGAAGTTTCCTAGGAGAGGGTAACAGTATGTGGTATGTACTGTACTGTACAGTAGATGCTATAAAATAACAGTCATCATCCTCTTGCATTAATTGTAGTATTATAAGCTAACTTCAGTGTACTGAAAGGGAAGTTTTCTAAAAACGTGACAAAAATATCTTTGAGCTGTAAAATGTAATTTGTAGCGAATATCATTATCGCCTTGATAAAATGAAAATGCCAATTTCTCCAACCGTCACTGTTTAATTCTAAGTTGCTGTAAAAAGGCTTATAGAGCAGCTCTAGCATAAGTGACAGGAAATGAGAATAGCAGTCTGAATGTTATGTGATAAAACTTTAGCCAACGCTTCACAGTGGAAACAATAAAGCCCCACTGAATCATATTGCTAATATGTAACGAAGCACACCGTGCAATATATCACCGGCCGGCATCCACAGGTGCATGCCATATGCGCTAAGACACATTCACATTCTTGTGTCATTTTGAATGCACAGTGCCAGCCATCTGTGCTGAAGGGATAAAACTATGAATTGTTCAAGTGGTCATACTTTTCACAAACAGAGCTGGCAGCCCAGTAAACATTAGACAGAATAATACATTACAGCATTAAAGAGATTGAAGGCTGAGCATCCCTCCAGTCACATCCATAGAAATAATGTCAGAGCTTGCGGCATGAGCGCTCTCTCGCTCTCTCTCTTTCTGTCTATCTTCCTTCTACTAAACCCCAACCCATATCCTGCCTTTCCCTCTCTCATAGTGTTCACAGATCGGAAAGCATATGTCGGGTGTAATTGCCACTAAAATATGCCCACTAGGAGAATTTGGTACCACCAACACGTTAATTAAATTAGATAAAGTCATGACAAAATTCCAACCTGACCTTTCATCAATGTGTTCTTTTCTCGCTCGAATGTTGAGACGAGTGAGCAAGCACAATTATAACATCACGTAAATGTATTTCTAAATCCAATATTCAATAACTGTTTCTTTGAAGAAAGGGGCAGTAAAAATTACCCCATTTTCCCTAAAGCTATGAAATCTTGGCCGAAAGGTCGAATAAAAAAAACATATCAGACATATGGCCATGCATAAGGAACATACAAAAAGGCACAATATGTAAGAATTTTTCGCCACAAGAGGGCGCCGTTTCCAACAATAACACAGGCGTAGGTTGATGACGCAGTGATGAGCTGAATGATGGGACTTGCTGTCAAGCTGATGGATCTAATAATGTTTATGGATGAGTGCAAACATTCATGTTTTTTTAACATTACAGTGGTGTGAAGGTGGTCGCGATTGCTAAAGAGACAGATATCACGCGCGAATATAAAGGAATAAGGACATTTAATTCAACCGAACTACCCGCAAGTGCTGGATCACTCACACAGGTCAGTTTATTAGACGAAATAAACTTGGTCTAACGTTACACTATCACACTAAACGGCTTTTAAAAGTGCGTTGAAAGTTATGTTATACTACGTGTCAGTTCATTTGCTACACGAAACTAGTAAGCTAGATCAACATTAGAATAGCATACTGACCATTTATAACATTTTGAGCTAACATTATATCACATTGATTTGTTTTATGTACATTTGCTCACCTGTTTAATAAAGTTGTCAAGTCGTGACTCGTGAAGCTCTGTCAAGTCCACGTTAGTCGCTAACGTGGAGATCTCGGCATCACAAAAACGCCACGCTGATATTGATCCTCATTTTAGTTTTTTGTCTTTAGTCTGCTTGCCATGGTCTATGTTTGAAATAAACAAGAATTGCGTGCCGCTAAACGTTACACACTACGCAATTTCCACGTCTGTCGCCATGGTAACGTTATGCTATGGCAGTATGAACGGAAACCGAGTATAGCGTGGATATTGCGTCATTGACAGGCGACATTTTTTTTTACAGGACGGCCACTTATTTAAAACTGGAATTTCTCTGAAATAAAAAAAAATCTTTGGAGACTTTTGGGATATTTGAAGTACACAACTGCAGGAGATATATCACACTGTGCAAGTGATTTTTGGATATTTTATTACACAATTCTTTCATATTGTAATCCCAATAACAAAATATCTTTAAAATGTGTTGCCACAATGTATGCTATCAGAGTATTACTTCAACATTTACTTGTCAAGAGGAACAAGATGTCTCCAAATACTTCAAACGCCCATGACAATTTACTCAAACCACAGGATACGGGATCCCGCGGAGAAATAGGCCAGCTGCACACGTAAATTGCATTTGAAATATCATGAAATACCTCTCAAAACCATCAATGTGTTATCAGCTGCTCATCTTAAATAACCATAGGAGCGATTCGTATGGAGAACGCTTCATAGGAGGGAACGAGGAGGCTATTGCCACACATTAGCTAAACTAGGAGCAGATCACGGGTCAGGCCGTCACTTAGCAGCTCATCAAGGTCCTTATTTAGTAGAGAAGGCAAGATTATACACTTTGCATGCAGTGTGCCGTTGAGCTTCCAAACAATCTCAAGGCTGGAATCTAAACGGTCCGCTCAGAGGACTCTAATCAGCCTGACACAATTACACTCTGTCACTCAATTATTGAAAAGGACCTTGTCAACAATGCAATGCCTTGCTGCACTTTTAAACGATAGGAGGTTGTGACGAGCAGTCAAATTATGAATTTGCATGGGGTTGCAGGGCCATTTTGGGCCGTAAAATTGGAATTTTCTGCGAAAAACAATGCAGGCCTTGGGTGGATTATGACATTTTCTGCCTTGAACTGAAGTGAGCATGAAAGAGAAGTCAGTACTGCTTACGTCTAACGTCTCTGAAGTAGATGGTCTGTCGGTTGGGGTTGAGCAGTTGGATGACGGAGTCGTCGTTGTTTTTCACCCGGCAGCTGATGATAGCCATCTCGCCCTCGACCACTGAGACATTATTCGTCACCAGGTTCTGACCCTGCACTGTAACCCAGAGAGAACAGATACAAGCTTTACAACAGAGCGCAGCAGAAATACAAATCCTTTTCATTTTCTCCATACAGAATAACATTTTACATTTACATTTAGTCATTTAGCAGACGTTTTTATCCAAAGCGACTTACATCTGAAGACTAAATCAAACAAGATATTGTGGAGAGGCAATAACAACGCAAGAAGTGCTCAAATTTCAAACATTGCTCAGAGTAGTATAAACCAGGCAAGTAAGATTTTTATTTTTTTTTTAATTTAAAGTGCTCACGGAAAAGACGAGTTTTCAGTTGTCTTTTAAATGCTGTCAGGGATTCTGCATTCCGGATGATGATGGGCAGATCATTCCACCAGCATGGGACCGTGAATGAGAATAACATGAAAATCTTTTGAGAAAAGTCTACCGGAGCTTTGAAATTGTTGAGCGATGACATAATTCAAAGTGATTATGATGTCATATATATATATATATATATATTGTTGCATTTAACAACCAAATTACCAGTGAGGAAATTCACTATAATCCTGGAAATAAATCCACCAATCAGAGAAGATGTTGTTACATTGGAAACAAAACCAACAGAAAACTCACTCATTACGATGAAGCACTGCAAATTATGTAATCCCTACTAAAAAATTGCTAATTATTTCTCTTGCTTGAGCTATTTGATTATTAATCAGTTGAACTGTTTGACTATTAATACAATAATCAGCAAATATTTTGTATTTTACATACACATTGTTGTAAATTAATATATTAAATATAAATACACCATATATATATATATATATATATATATATATATATATATATATTAGGGCTGTGCAAAAATTAATTGCGATTAATCGCATCCAAAATAAAAGTCTGTGTTTACATAATATATTTGTGTGTGCTGTATATAATTATTTTGTATATATAAATACACACACATGCATGTATATATTTAGGAAAATGTGTTATTCATAAATAAAATATTTATATTTATATAATATAGATTATGTATTTATTTATATATACAGAATTTAAGCGCAAATAATTCTTAAATATATACATGCATGCATAGGTATTTATATATACAAAATAATTATATACAGCACACACAAATATATTATGTAAACACAGAATTTTATTTTGGATGCGATTAATCGCAATTAATTTTTGCACTGCCCTAATATATATATATACTGTATATATATATATGAAGAGTTCAGATGCAAAAGCCTCTAAATGCCATTTGAAATTTTCTTCTAAAATGACCATTTTTATCAAGCTTGTATATTTAAGTTCAGTAATTTCACTTAAATGACAATTAATAGGTAATCTTCATTGACATTTAAGTGAAATTACTGAACTTAAATATACAAGCTTGATAAAAATGGTCATTTTAGAAGAAAATTTCAAATGGCATTTAGAGGCTTTTGCATCTGAACTCTTATATATATATATATATATATATATATATATATATATATATATATAACAAATGTTCGATCAATCTACTAAAAATAAATTTGATTACATAATTTGCAATGGCAATGGTTTATGGGATGAGTAGTTTGTTCCCTCGTCAAAAACTTTTACCTTAAAATCTAAGTTTGCCATGTGATTCATCTCAGAAGTGACTGCATTGGTTCATTACTTTCTATTGCAGAAATTTTGGAATCCTTTTAGAGTAAATGAATAAAAAAAAAACACTTTGGAAGCCATGTCCGTTAAAAAAAAAAAGTGAGCATCACTGCAATACCTGAATAAGGTTATTACATTTGCCATGTCTTATCACAATCTGGATTGTAATTACAATGCATCCACTGAACAGTTTTTCTCATTTGGCTGTTGCCTTGCTATTCAGTCAGAGAGGCAATCATGACACTCTTTCTTTAAGCACAAAAAAAAAAAATACTATTACAATTCAGATCCTGTTTCATTCTGCTCTTGTATCATGAAATTGTAAAAGTTGAGGCTGAAACTGAATAGATGACAGCAATGATAACGCAAATCCTCATGAGGAGTCCTTTGAATACTGATGTTTTTGCATAACACGTGCATACGTTTTAGAGCGACGTTAGAGTGACACACAGATAAATGTAACGAGCAACCACGTTTCGCTCCGTGTACATGTCAGAGCACGCACGCAAGGTTAAGATGTACCGGCTGGGTTCTCGGTTTGGACGTATTGATTTTACAGCATTGTGTGTTTCTAGTGTGTGTGGAACACCCTGGCTACAAGACTGCAGCACTCAGCAACCGAGATGGGAAGGCTGGTAATTGCTGCTCACGGCAGAACTTTATCAAACCTCTCCATCTAAACACAAGCTGATGGAAGCTGGCAATCAACAGCATAATACCCGGACGAACAGCAAGCTCTGCAAACACAGAGGAAAGTATCTGATACACTTCACTGCGAGCCAGTAACAGCTGATAATTAGAGGCTGCATCACTCCCTTATGGTTTACATTCAAAATGGGGATCCATTATTCCTTGCAAGTGAAGACAGGAGAAAAGCAAAAGTCACCTTGCTCTATATTTATACCCACCGAGCTGAGAGGCATGAAAAATCACCAAAGAATGCTTTTAAACACTTTATCCTCACACGCAGAGTAAAACACTACCTTTAGCACAACCGTAAGACAACATTCAATGAAAAATGTGTGTGGCTGAGCAATCAGATGCCTTCGGGCACTTATGACATTTACAGAGACTAAAAACAAAACATCTTAATTTCTCTACTCTACGACTGTGCCCAACTCAGCCCTGCATGTCCCAGTCAAAGAAAAACAAATCGGTGTGGAAAAACAACACGTTTAGCCTGTCCTCCTGAGTTGTGAACGTTAGGGATGATAAAGCATCGTCCACTCCATGAAGGAGTTTTAGCAGACTGGCATGCTGGGAGTGTTTGTGAGACCACAGAGGTGCGGTGCCACTACAATCTGCGACCATGCCCAACGTTAAATATCCGTGAAGCCAGGTTTCACGCTGTCGCAATCATGCCAAAAAAAAGAAGGAAAAAACTCTAGCTGGAAGGGTTGTAAAAGCTGAAAAAAGCTCATAAGAAAGAGTTTCAGCGCATACTTTAGACATCATCAAGTCATAAGTGATATTAGGATAAGATTCTGAGAACACATACACTCTCAGAAAAAAAGGTACAAAAGCTGTCACTGGGGCTGTACCTTTTTAAAAGGTAAACTTTTGTCCATTTTCGGTGCTAATATGTACATTTGAGGTGCTAAAAATACATTTTAAGTGTTAATATGTACATTTTAGGTGCTAATATGTCCATTTCATGAGCTAATATGTCCATTTTAGGTGTTAATATGTCAATTTTAGGTGCTAACATGTACATTTTAGGTGCTAATATGTACATTTCATGAGCTAATATGTCCATTTTAGGTGTTAATATGTCAATTTTAGGTGCTAATATGTACATTTTAGGTGCTAATATGTACATTTCATGAGCTAATATGTCCATTTTAGGTGTTAATATGTCAATTTTAGGTGCTAATATGTACATGTTAGGTGCTAATATGTCCATTTTATGTGCTAATATGTCCATTTCATGAGCTAATATGTCATTTTAGGCTTTGATATGTTATTTTAGGTGTTAATATGTACATTTTAGGTGTTAATATGTACATTCTAGGTGCTAATATGTACATTTTAGGTGCTAATATGTCCATTTCATGAGCTATTATGTCCATTTTAGGTGTTAATGTCAATTTTAGGTGTTAATATGTACATTTTAGGTGCTAATATGTCCATTTTATGTGTTAATGTCAATTTTAGGTGTTAATGTGTACATTTTAGGTGCTAATGTCCATTTCATGAGCTAATATGTCTATTTTAGGTGGTAATATGTACATTTTAGGTGGTAATATGTCAATTTTAGGTGTTAATATGTACATTTTAGGTGATAATATGTACATTTTAAGTGCTAATATGTCCATTTCATGAGATAATATGTACATTTCAGGTGCTAATATGTACATTTTAGGTGCTAATAAGTACCACTAAGGTACCAATATGTAGCCTTTGGATACAAAAGTGTACTTTTTGAAAAGGTACAGCCCCAGTGACAGCTTTTGTACCTTTTTTTCTGAGAGTGTAGCCTAATTAAGAAGGTTTTGACAGACTGATGCCATTTTAGAGGACAGTTTGCCCAATAATGAACATTCTGTCATCGCTTAATTGGCTTTATGTCATTCTAACAATGCATTCTCATCCAAAGGTGTCATCTAACTGACACTTTTGACCATGCTTCAACATCCGAAGCTTTAGGCACCCTTTAGCATCAGTTAGGTGACGCTATAGGGCTTCATCTAACTGACACTTTACCTTTAGGTAGGTTTAGGTCTGGGGTAGGGTTAGGCCACTAGGATAGCGTCATCTAACTGACGCTAAAGGGTGCCTTAAGCGTCGGATATTGAAGCATGGTCAAAAGCGTCAGTTAGATGACGCCTTGGGATGAGAACAGGCTGATTGTAAACGTTCATTCTAAAGCTCACTAGGTTTTGCCACACTGCCTCATCTACAATTTCACCTCAAGCAAGCCAAAATGTGATTGGCCAAAAGACTGATTGTGATTTAACTCATTCATTTAGCATTCAAGGCCATGACAGTCTGGTTCGGTTCTGCCCCATAACCCCACCAAGGTGTCTATCCCTCACATTTACAACAAGCTCCATTTCTGACCTCTCCAAATAACAATCGTTGACAGTTACAATCCTACTCACCTCAACACCACTCATCATTATTCCTAAAAACCTAGCGCTCTGTAATTTTTACCATCTACTGGTTGAGTCACATGACTCTGAAATATAATTAATGCATGTGAAGTTTCATGATAATAGCATATCTTTCACTCTCAAAGCCTTTTTAAGAACAGATCCCACGGGTACTATATACATTTCCTGAAGCGAGAACTTTTCAAGGTTGATACACATCAAAAGGTACTCTGGGAATGTGCTTTATTAACTTTATATTATATTAGTAATATTAATTATTACACATGGATTTTAACACACGAGTTGGCTTAATAATTGATTTAAAAAAGTAATTTTTGTGAAGGTTATTAAAGGCGTCTTCACTTCAAAAAAATCCTTTTTTTTTATTTGCACATCCAAGTCATGGCTGCATGGCAACAGGTTGACTAAGATAGAAGATGGAACGAGATGTTAGGAAAACATGAATCCGTCCAACAGCTGAAATGAAGAGGAACTGGGAATAGTGTCAATTCTTTTGAATGTACAATTTTAACATCTTAATGTACCTAATCACACGCATGCTGTAAGTTTGAACAATGCCAATTAAAGAAAGATAGAATGGCATAGGCTCTAAATAATTACTGATTCATTGACAGAAGTGTGTGAAGGTGTGCATTGTGGAAGTCATTTACGTGTGTGAATTTAAATCCATTTGCATAATTAACATTTTTTGTGCCTTTTTTTCTTTACACACACACAAAATACATATTTTTGTATTTTTTGTAAAAATACATATTTTTTGTCAATGGCTTTTTTTTCTTCACAAAGCCTGTGAAGAAAAACTAACAACTAATTTTGAAAAAAATAAAAAAAAATAAAGGCTTAATTTAAGAACATTCAGATTTAATTTAAAATTTTTTTCAAAATTGTGGTATTATTTTCAGGACAAGTAAGAACATTTTACCCCACAATCCTCATTACCATAATCTGCCCTGATGTTTACAGGTACACCATTTAACTATATTTTGATCAAAATCAAATGAAAATAATGAATAATCACCAATCCTTCTTCCAAAATGTATTTTTCTCTTACCCTGATTCACTATGGTAAGCCTATTATAAGCGTTTATATTTTAAAGCTGTCAGGATGGTTGTCGTGGGAAATTGCATACATGCATCGCTCGCCCGTTTTGTGTCTCGACATATCCGTAAATAAAGGAAAAATTGTTCTGATTACTTTGTGTGTATGGTGTGGGAGTGGCATACTGTAGGTCAGTTGTCACAACTAGGGGTTGCCAACATAACCTCAAAATTATATCACGATATTTCAAGAATATTTGCGATAATGATATTTATGATGATATAGAAAAAGAAAGTCTGTGTATTATTTTAATTATATTTATCTCACCTAAATGTTTACTTTTTAGGGGTGTAATTTTGTAGTTAAGAATTTACACAACACAAGGAAGCTTGATTTGAAGCTTTGAATTAAATTTAAAAAAAGTAGAAAATTTATACAAAATAAAATATTTTCAAGATTTGTTATCACAACATATTTTCTTTTGTCAAATCAACTTTAAAATAATTTATTTAGTTGAGATAACTTATTATTTTGAGTTTCTGATGGTTAAATAATAATAATAATAATAATAATACATTTTATTTATTTGGCGCCTTTCTGGACACTCAAGGTCGCCTAAATTAATCTAATTCATTGTATTAACTCACTTTTTCCAGTTCAATCAACTTAAAATTAAGGCAACCCAGGTTACTTTTTTAAGTTAAACCAACAATATTTTTTTACAGTGTAGTAATCACAACATTTTTTTCTTTTGTCAAATCAACTTAAATAATTTATTTAGTTCAGATAACATATAATTTTGAGTTTCTGATGGTTAAATTAATCTCCTTCATTGTATTAACTCACTTTTTCCAGTTCAATGAACTTAAAATTTTTAAGGCAACCAGGTTACTTACTTTTTTAAGTTAAACCATCAATATTTTTTTTACAGTGTAGGTCTAACAATTGTACAGGTCGAACGGCAGGGAGGTGTACTGATTCGGACCTCACAAATATTCTACTGGATCAATGGGCAAAAAAAAAAAAATCTTGCCAATAAAGAATGCATAGATGTGCACTTCCAGAATCACACCATCCTGATCTAGCCTTTAGAATAAACGAACTGTGGTGAGTAGTTAAAAGTTAATATATTCAGTCTCATAAGTACTTAGGTAAAGTAAAAATAGCAGTAATTAATTATTAAGTACAATTACTCTTTACACCCCTGGCTTATAACAGTTCTCAAAATCTGTGAAGACATTGCACAGGAACTCATGTTTTTGAGGCTCAAAAAGTCTTGTGTAAATCGACCACAAGATCAATCCAAAATGATCTTATGGAAATCTGAAATGAATGATCATGCCAGTTTTAATATTGCATAAGCAGTTTGATAAGACACTTCTAAAATATATATAACGGAAAGATTGGTGGATTCTTAAGATCAGAATAAAGAAAAAACATGCAGGCTGCTTCAAAGGCCAGATATCAAACCATGCAAACTGTAAAACATCATGCATAGAAAGAAAAATTAGGAAGACACTGAGAGGTGATGTGATCCAGATGGAAGAGGAAAAGCAGTACCTGATATGGTCTGAGCGGCTCCTGAGCAAGCGTGAGGAGAAACAGGACACATATATTAGTGTTAAAGTAGAAAACTTTTCACTTTATCAAATACTTTGCATGCATCAAATATCATTCAGGTCTGGGTTTTAATCTTTCCATAGCATATGCGAGATGACATGACACTAAGATCTCACAGTTCTTTCTTTCCTGCATTAGCATTTCCTTCAGGTGGTGAGTTACACTGTCCTTTTTTGATGGCAAACTGCCATCCCTGTCAAAGTCAAGGAGACTAGAGTAGAAGAAAGAGAGCTATAAAGTTTCTACCGCTGGACATCACAGGTAGAGTGCAGAAAGACAAGAGCGATATTGGCTGAAAAGACAAGATGATCTAATTTATATTCACAGGGATCTGTGTTGGATAGAGACGGAAACATTCAGCATCATTCGGTCCCTTTCTAAAATGAAAAAGTACAACTTTTGAGACCCTTTGTGATTCAACACAATTCAACAGTGAGGCCAAGCAGGTTTGCTAAATACAATTTCACATAAAATGTAACGCACAATAACATATTTCCATTAACCTGTTATGTTTTCTTCACAGATCAAATGCCATATATAATGTCATAATTAAAGATATCTAAAATATTGGGAAAGTTGTCCAAGATCTCCATATCCAGGTTACAAGTTCACAGATGTTTGAAGATTTTAAGCAGATCATTTAATATGGAAACAGTGTATGATAAACAGCATGAGGCTAATGAGACCTGTAAAAAGTCTTCTGTTCACCCAGGCACTCACAGCAGACATACAGCACTATAAATAGTGGATTCTCGCGTCAATAAGCTCTTCAGCCTGACGTGTATCAGACGAGAGTTATGGCATGTCAGTAGGGCAGTGATTAGATGTCACTGCTGTCAGTCTTCTTACAAGATATTGATGGTCAGATTTCAGCAGAAGCCCATTTGATGACATCTGAGTGTAGACAGCTGTGCTAGCAAGGCATCCTTCAAAAAGGATGATTTTGAAAGCTGATTCCTCTCAAACGCCAGTTGTGCAATAAGTTACCACTACAAAACCGATAAATATTACGGTTTAAGGAAAGGACAAGATCCCTTTGCTCTTTAACCCATAAAAAAATAATATTTTGTCATTGATTATTCACCCTCTTGTCATTCCCAAAACTGTACGACCTTATTCAGTGGAACATAATTATTATTATTTTTTTTAAATTCTGGAACTTTCCAAATTCTGAATACTGGAGTAGTGCTGTTGAAAATTTAGCTTCGTCATCACATAAATAAATAGCATTTTTAACTTTAAAGATTCATGCAAAGTATTGATGTCCTAAATACATGATCAAAGTTCACAAAACTGGTCTGACTTATTTCCAACTCAACGACTTGCAACAATACAGCTGAAGAGGAAGACCATTAGTAAGTAACTGTAAGCTATTGTATGGTTTCATGAGACACTTTTATGATACTTCTTATACGTAGGTCCAAACACCGTTTATTGTAATTGCCTGGAAAACAGAAAGCAGAACATTCTTTAAAATGTCTCAGAATCTAAGACGGTTTTGAAACAACATGAGCAGGAGTAAATGAAAACGTTTCACGATTCCTTCAAGCAGTCAAGATCAAGCAAATGTTTTCGACTTTTTACAGGCTATTGTACCTGCGTTAGTAAATCACATTAGCAGTTAAAGTTGACCTCTGAATTGTGCCCTGCAGATATTCAGCCCCATTTCCCCTTTAATTTCACAGTATATTTGTAGTTATCCCGCTGAGCAGCCATATTTGTGTATTCCAACCATGAGCACAATTCTATGTGCTTCTGTCCGTTACCGTGGTGTGACTTTGAGCTTGTATGTGACCCGCTGTGCTTTCATTTAATTAAAAGGGTAGGGGTGGAGATTCAAAGCGTACCTTAACGGGGATCTGATGGAAAAATCTGTGCATGCCATGTGCGCCCAAGGACACACGATTAGGTGACCACCAAAAAGCTCTCGGTTTGGAAAACTATGTCATTCTTTCCTTGAGCTTTTGTGAAAGTGATTCTGTGCTTTAATGGTGTCTTATAAAACTTTATATGATGCTAAAATGTTATTTTAAACCAACCCCTTTATTACAAGGTAATGATAATAACAATAAAATGCTACAGCTAAAACATTAAAGGAATAGTTCATCACCATTTACTCACCCTCATGTCGGTAAAACTTGTATCACTCTCAGAAAAAAGGTCCAAAAGCTGTCACTGGGACTGTACCTTTTCAAAAGGTACACTTTTGTACCCAAAGGCTGCATATTGGTACCTTAGTGGTACATATTAACACCCAAAATGTACATATTAGTACCTAAAATGTACATGCTAACAACTAAAATTTACATGTTAACACCTAAAATGGACATGTTAGCACATAAATTGTACATATTAACACCTAAAATGTACATATCAGCACCTAAAATGTACTTATTAGCACCTAAAATGTACATATTAGCACCTAATATGTACTTAATAGCACCTAAAATGTACATATTAACACTTAAAATGTACTTATTAGCACCTAAAATGTACATATTAACACCTAAAATGTACATATTAGCACCTAAAATGTACTTATTAGCACTTAAAATGTAATATTAGCACCTAAAATGGACAAAAGTTTACCTTTTGAAAAGGTACAGCCCCAGTGACAGCTTTTGTACCTTTTTTTCTGAGAGTGATGCTGTTACTTAACCTGTGACGTACTGTATGGAGGGAAAAGAACTGAATCGTCACAATATCTATATATATTTTTCCCCCTACATGTCGTGTGGGGATTCAGAATGAAGAAATACAAATAAAAAAATGACCCCTTTTAAAAAAGTGCAACATTTTCCAGGATCAGTAACCAGGGTTAGGTGCTTCTATATCATTGTTATTCATCTTTATTTCCCCTATAATTTTAGGGGTAAGTTATGGGTAGGGTCAGGTTTAGGGTTATGGCTAATTTTTGGACTGAAATGTTGATCCAGGATCATGTCTTACTTAGGAACATTCACTGTGACTGTTAAGGAATAGCACCATGATGTTTTGTGTTTTGTCTCATGTTTCACAGTCCTGTCCGTCATCAGCGTCAAGTGTGTTTTTAAAACCCAGTGAGCATAAAATATAATTAAACTGTGAGAGAAACAAATGAAAGCACCATTTAAGCTGCCTGTAAGTTACTACGCCAAATAAACATTTGTATTGACTTTCCATGAGATCAAGCAGAAAGAGCTTTTCTCACCAGACTGCATACTTACAGATACCAGCCTCTTGGATATGTGTGAATAGTTAACAGAGTGTGAAAATAACCTATTCCTGCTCTGTTGCTGGCCATTTCCCAGTGGAAACAAGATACACGATAATATTTATTCCAACTTAAGTCTTAAAGCTTAACCCGCACTGATGAAAAGCTTATTTTACACAACGTCATCAATAATATTATAGGCCTATTTCTCTCTTTTTTTTTGTCTCATAATGCTCTATTTCTTTATATAATCATGGTGGAGGGCTGTGTGCTCCTGTCCCTGAGTCTGTCATTTGGAGCATGTGGACAGGATGTGGATAATGAGAACATAAGGGTGAGAGGAGCTGACAGGGACATCATCCTCCCACTACGACCGACAGAACACAGGTCAAAGAACAGTCACTAAACCTGCGCTCACCCACCTGGACTTCACATTAAAAAAGGGTTGTCTTTCTCGAAATTCGGAGAAAAAGCAATCAGTGGCACTGACCATCTCCAAAATCACAAGATAATTACTTTTCATGTAATGATTTAGGCAGAAGATTCTCACTCAAAATGCAAATATTAAACCGCAACCAGCCTATTTGTTCAGATATGCTAAATATGGCTCATCACATTTTCAATGGGAGGAGAAAAAGCGTATCATATCTTTTGTTGTTTTATCTAGTAATCTAGTAATATTCATTCTAGTAATATGCTACTGCATTAGTTGAGAGATTCTATTCCTTAAGAAAAAACGACACGTACTGTATTTTTATTACACACACAAAAAAAAAAAAATATATATATATATATATATATATATATGTTGGCTTTAATTCATTTTATTTCGTCAACAGGTTCCACATAACTGGATTACGTTAAACAAACATAATTTGTTCATGTAACTTCAACATCATGAAATTAAGTCATTTTAACCAACCTAATTTAAAGGGTTAGTTCACCCAAAAATGAAAATTCAGTCAGTATTTACTCACCCTCATGTTGTTCCAAACCTCTATGTGTTTATTTGTTCTGCTGAACACGAAGGAAGATATTTGGAAGAATGTTTTAATCAAACAGATCTCATTCCCCATTGACTACCAGGAAAAAATACATACTATGGTAGTCAATGGGGAATGAGATCTGTTTGATTAAAACATTCTTCCAAATATCTTCCTTTGTGTTCAGCAGAACAAATAAACACATAGAGGTTTGGAACAACTTGAGGGTGTGTAAATGATGATAGAATTTTCATTTTTGGGTGAACTAACCCTTTAAGTAGTCTCAACGTGATTTTTTAAAGGCTTCCTGACATGATTCAGGTATTTTTTTATATTCCTTTATCCATTGATATTTCATTTAAATTAATGAGAAATAATTAAACTGATAGACTATAGCTAGCTATTTGCTAGCAGGAGCACTTAGTAGCATCTTAAATGCTAAGTTATACATGCTCCTTACAAAATTACACACTATCAAGTCTTCGCCTTTTCTAAATTTCTCAACAAAAAAAAAAGAGAGATAAAATAACACTTAATTTTAACATTTATTCTCTCTTAATTCAACCATATGCAAAGCATGCTGGGAACTAACAAGCACCGCCCAGTTTCAGTTAATGCAACACAAATCAATCATGTAATCCAACACAAAAGGATTACGTAAACTTAAATTGTACATATATTTAAGCAGATTGAACACAATCAAATTAAGTTCGGGCAAAATTGCAGTTGGCACGCACTATACTGCCACCGTCTGGATGTACGAATTTTTTTACTTAACATAAATGGTTTGTGTTTAGACAACACGTAAGGATTTTG